CATTAACTAGCATTTTCTAAATGTCAAACAGGCAACAATTGATGGAAAAAGCAAAGCTAAATTTAAATAAATATTTGTACAGTTAAATGCACGTGATTTACTTTTATTGTAAGAAATATAGCAGGGATGCTGCTCTTAGTTTTGCATTCAAGTATTCAAACATCATTTAATAAAATGTTTTTGCTTTGTCTTGTGATCTTCCTACATTGAGAAGCTCTGTGCCCTACCCCAGAAAATAATAAAACTAGATTTTACACGAACAATTACATAAACATAAGTTTATTAGCAATATTATCATTTTGATAACAGTTATCAGATGTACATTTCAGGTACTTTTGGTATCAACAATGCAAACCGTGTTTTTGTTATAATGAACTCAGGGCAGACAAAGCATTAGATAAAGAGAAGTAATCTCTAGATGTATCCAATAAGCAGGACTTTGTATCTCAAGTCCTTGTAAGGCAGTGTTTCAGATTTTTTTTGTCATCAGGGTTTATATTTGTACTTTTCAGCCTCTGCATGCTTTCTTGTACATTAAGTTTGGGAAGCTGAAAAGGAAGTCTTGGTCACAGTGTTTTAATCCATACAAGATATGGCATGCCATTGACAATTTAATGTACCTAATATGTGAATTTTGTGTGAGGAATTTCATATTTCTCTAAGCATAATGTGAATTTTTACCTCTGTCTATTACATTGTTTTCATGGAATGTAAGTATCTGTAGATATTCACTCATAATTATGAAATAATAAGTTTTGTAGAATGACTGTCACTCATTTGACAAACATGGTTTTTCATATTACTGCCTAACTTTGCACTCATATATGATTTTGCCTAGGACACTGCAAATTTTCAAAAGCATCTCCACAAAAACAAAATTTTTAATTGATGATATGTTTATTTTGAGACAGGGCCTCACTCCACAGCACAGGTCAGCTCTAGCCTATAACTCGTTATTTAGCATGGACTAATCCTTAAATAAGCAATGATCCCACCTCAACCTAGGAAATGCTATAATTACTGGGTGAGCTATCACACCCAGATTTTATATGTGCTTAAATAGCAATTATGCTATTTGGTAAAATTTGATCTTCATTGATTTTTTTAGAATAATTCAATATTTCTACCTACATATCTATTAGCAAAAAAAATATATTTGAGTGCCACTGTTCTATTTTTCAATGATTATTAAAACACTTTTACTACTAACAATTTAGTCCATAGAACATTATAAAGTACTATATATACATAATACATACTATATACTTCTGTCTATCTGGAGCCATCATAAGAGTGACCTTTGCTCACCCTAAGAACAAAAGCTCACAAGAGATCCATTTATACTTCAGGGTTAAATTCCATAGTATTAGAAACATAATAAGGTTCAAAGTATGTGCAATTAGTTAAATAAAATTTCTATAGTTAAATATAAAAGTTTCCAAGTTAATAAAGCAAGAAACCACAACTATTAAGTTCATTTATATTTGTACATATTCATTATCCAAGACTATGCTACATTTATTTAATCCTGATTTATTTTATATCATGCCTTGAAATACATAAACAACAGGAAATATATTTGGGCTTAATATTAAATGTAATGATTTTATCCAGTACAAAAAAAATAGGGAAGTTCTTTGATCACTGAAAAGAGCTACTCAATTTCTAAGCAAAGACCTCAGAGTAGCTATATTTGAATTGGTAGATATTTTTACTTTAGCTATTGAATTTTACTTATGCTTTTCGTATGCTAAATCATATAGAAGTCAATCTTTTCCTTAACTCAGAGATTAAAGTTGATGGCATGAAAATATTATTGTTGTCCACAGCGGGTCACTGACTTTGGCATCAGTAAAAAGGCTCATGCAGTTGTGTACAGCTGCGTTGCAAACTTAATCCTTTAAGACCTGATGTTTCATGACATCTTTGAGGATAAGAGCTCTTTATTTGTGTTTCTACTTTCTTGACCTTAGAGAATGCAAATTACTACTGTAAATGGATTAATTTACTCTTCTGCCAGAATAATATACTTGAGACTGTTTCCACCTTGAAACATGCTGAGTATTAAACAATATAATCCTTCTTGTTTTTCCTCAAAGGAATTAATTGCAGGTTAAATATCCACTCTTTTCATCACTTTACAAAGCAAATAGCATTCAATAATGATTTTTTTCCTACTATAAGTGAGTAGTTGGGCTGGATTTTTTTGTGTCATATATCTTTCACTTAATAAAAATTTAATCATTTCTCACCTGAAATCAGATCACATATATCTTGAAGAACAATGTTCTGAAAGAATACAAAAGAATTCTGAAGAATATAGCTCTGAAAAATGGGACATGAATGCCTTTATGAATATGGGTATGATTCAAATAGACAAGAGCAGATAAATCTACATGAATATTGCATCTGGTTCTTTGAGTGGCTTATAATTTTGAAACTGTCACATGTCAGCAAATATGACAACGCTGCTGAAAAACCAAAACGGAAGTGTGTCTCTGCTCAGCAATTGCATCTAGTTCACATATGATTGCCATGTCTGTATTTTATTTTATTTTTTCTAGTTATTATTTCTTTTCTTTTATTGAAAATATACTTTTTTTCTCACATTATATATTCTGATTATGGTTTCCCCTTCCTCTACTCCTCCCTGTTCCTTCCCACCTCCCCTCCCATTTGGATCCAACCCCTTTCTGTCTCTCATTAGAAAACAGGCTTCTAAGGGATAATACTAAAATAAAATATAAGCTAAAACAAAAATCTCCACAACAAAGATGGATAAAGGAAACCAACAGAAGGAAAAGAGGCCAAGAATAGGCATGAAAATCAGAGACCCACTTGTTTTCACACCCAGGGATCTCATAAAAACATTAAGCTTGAAGACATCATATATATGCAGAGGACCTGGTACAGGCCTGTGCAGTTCCTGTGCATGCTGCCTCAGGGTCTATGAGCTAAAGCTCATGGTGATTGACAGGGCCTTGGTCTTGGTGTCCCCTATCCCCTTTGGCTCCTACACTCTGCCTTCTGCCTTCTCTTCCACAGGATTCCCTGAACTCCCCTCCCCACTCTAGGGGAAGCATTTGATGGAGACATCCCATTTAGTTTAGGGCTGAGTGTTCCAAGGCAAATTTCTACAGCAAATTAGTTTTATTCATACAAAATAGTTTGCACTTAACTCTTTTCTGTGAGTGAAGTGAATATATGACAAACATTTAGAATGTATATATGTATGTACACTTTGTGTGAATATATATGGCCAATTTGTTTTATTAATTAATGTTATTATAAAGTTTAGGAATTAATAACCATAATCCAACTCATGGATTAACTTACTTTTCTGCCTGAATACTGTACGTGAGACTATCTATAATCAATGGTCATGGTAATTTAATTCATTGTTGAGATTTTTAAAACTAATATTTCCTTATCTTCTAAAAATGCAAGAAACAGTATCAGAGTGTTTCTAAACATATTACTCATGTTTTAATATAGGGAAAAATCTTGTCACTAATTTTTTTTAAAGTCACAACCAGTAAGACATCTGAATAGGTGATCCATGTGATGTGAAGCTCTGATTTGGTTTATTTGAACAAATAGTGAAGAGGGGATAAATGGTTGGTACAGTAGGAGGGGAGATCGCTACAATCAAGTGCTAGAGCTGCTTTGAAGTTTGTTTCAGACATTGTATTCTGCTGTGAAATTGAGCATGAGTCTTGGGAAATGACCCACAGCTTTGTTTCCGTTTGTTATTCCCTTCATTTTCTTTCCATTAGAATTGTTCCCTTCTAATATGATTTTAAGCACAACTTCTGACTGTTTCATTGTTTATAATGAATTGTTTCAAATTTAAGATCAAATAAAACATTAAAACTTGAGTTTAAATGCTCATTTATAAATGTGATGCTGAAATTATGTTAATTATTTTCCACTGAGGATATGGAAAAAAGGGAATTATTATATATAATCAAACCACCAGCGTAGTCATTAAGCACTCTGGAAAGACTACTTAGACAGAATGTCTTGTGGTGTACTCATGTAGATTTTTATTTTACACCTGAGTTAGTAAACTAAATTGAATTTGCAAATGCCTATGTCATTAGTCAATATCAGTAACACTGGTAAAAGGAGTAGCAAAATCAGATTTCACTACTGGAAACACTAATATACGAACTCCATCTTCGTAGATGTGATTTGCATACATTTAAATTGGCGTGGACATCTTTGAAAAGCTGTGTATGAATTCATAATGACTGTGAAAGTAGCCACCAATTAGAAAGCTTCATCACACTTACATTTCTCTCCATGAGAGCAGCTTTTAGATTCTGGGCGTCCCTTGCTCTATTTTTTCCCCTTTGATTGACTATAAGACATGGACTGAAATCCCTTAACTGGGATGCGAACCACAAACAACACTGAACAGCATCCAATTGCCTGGAAACCCTGCTTCATTTCCAGAATCTCTGGTAAAACCTCTTATTACACCTACTCCTTTAACGTTCCTGACACAAGCATTCCCCGATCTGAACCTTCCGCCCACTTTGAAAATATCCTTTCTATGCTGTAGAAATTCGCTTCACTTTTCTCCAGTGCCGTCAATAAACCTTCAAATAACCCCTTCCTAGTGCCTTTGGAGATGGGTTTTTTGTTTGTTTGTTTGTTTGTTTGTTTTTTAAATCCCCACTCAAGACTGACAATCTGCGTCCCTTCAATAAAGAAAACGATAATGACATTAACGAATGCATTGCAGAAATTACAACACCAGTGAGACCACAGTGAGACCCAGCACACCCTGTAAGTTTAGCCTGAAACCATCCTTCTTTCTGCTTGTTCGCAGGTTTAGCCTGCTCTTCCACCTGCGAGCAGTGAGTGGATTTTTGTTGTCTACTAACCCCCTCTAGCGCCGAATCGGCGGCACCCGAGCCACAGCTGCTGCCAGATCGCGGGGCTCCACCAAGCTCAGCAGCGCTCTAAGGGCCCTGCCCTCCGTGCACCGGTCTCGGCGGCAGGCAGATCGGAGACTGCAGGTGGCAACACCTCTTCTCATCAGCTAGTCTTGTTCTTCGGCCCAGGGTGGGGTCCCACCAAGTAGCCCGTGCACCAGCTTAGAAGCGCCCCGACCTGGGAGGCAGTGGGTGCTGAGAAGGGGCGTCTCGGGGAGAGCGCACCAATCGCCGCGCGCGCGCTGCCTTGGACTTGGCCACGCAGAACTGAGCCCTCGGGCTGCTCTCAGCGCGTAGCCCGCCGCGGCCGAACAGCGGGCTGTCGAGGCCCTTCGGAAGCCGGGCACCAAAGCTGCCATGATGATGCTGGTGACCTCCCTGGCGAAGTCACCACCGTATGCCGACGCGAAGACCTAGGCGAGCCAAGGTGCCAGGCACCAGTCGACTTCCAGCCTGCAGTGGCTCCTCTCTATCGCTTCTTCTATCCCTATGCTTTCCAAGGACTTGGAAGAGGAGAGGTGGCCAGATAGCTTGCTGGTTCGCTCTGGTGGCCAAGTTTGGGAGGCTGGCACTCAGACACTTCAGAGCTGACCGCTACCATCGCCAAGCTGTGCCCAGGGCGCTGACCTGCATCCCTCTCCCCTTTACATCCGGAGAAATGTGGCGAAAGGGGAGGTGGTGTCCAGAGCTGACAGTCTATCATTACATGGGGGAGGGGGGACGCAAGTGATTGGGGGACTAAGGTAGCTTCGGTGATACCCAGTAAGTAAGCCGCTGCCACGGCCTGGGGGAGGCGCAGATGCCACCTAATCTGTGGTGCCCACGATTCGACACTTAGACCAGGTCACTCAGTCAAGAGGCTGAGCGCTCGGTCCGCTGCCTCCTGGGACCATTTGAGACCCCGCAGAGCCTCATTCGCCTGGTTCCCCAGACACCAGCCACGGGAAAGTTCTGGTCGCCCAGGCTATCCTTGCTGTCTGCTGTACGCCCTCTGCTCTGGGCTCTGCAAGTGCCAACTTGGGTCAAGAGAAACGCTAGGGTCCCCAGAACTGCACCTTCACCGCCCGACTGGACATCCCTACCAACCCCCAGTACCCTCCTTCAGGCACCTTCCCCCCGCCCCCGTCCTCCTTCCCCTCCCCCAAACTACAGCCTGAGCTCGCTCTTGCGCGCGCGCTCTCTTGGGCCCAAGTGAATAGTCCTCGCTTGAGCGGGACACGGCGGTGGATGCAATTCCCCTCGCCTCCAGCCGCCAGGAGCTCCCCGGCGGCGGCGCAGGCAGCATCCTCCTCCGAAGCAGCTGCTCCTGCACCTGGACAGCCTGGACCCTCGTGCCCTGCTCACGGGGCCTCACGCGGGGGGCGCCCCGGGACTTCCCCTGCGGGCCGGGTGGAGGAGGAAGAGGAGGAGGAAGAAGAAGAGAGCTTGGACCAGGACCCCCACCCTACCAGGAACACCTGGCTGCGCGACTGCCACTTCTTCTTAAGGGGGAGAAGAGAGCCAGCGCGAGCCATGGGGGGCTGCGAAGTCCGGGAATTTCTTTTGCAATTTGGTTTCTTCTTGCCCCTGCTGACAGCTTGGACAGGCGACTGCAGTCATGTCTCCAACCAAGGTAAGGGACGAACGGAAGGGCTGGGGGAGGAGGGTGCCTCTGGAGTGAGTACTCTTGTCCACTGTGGCAGGTAACTTTGTCCCTGGGTCAGCTCCTCTGGACTTGCCACACTGTGGTGTCCAGGATGTTTCCTGACCAGAGAGCCCTGATTGCATTGCCTGGGACCAGCTGCCCCTGGAGCTCGGCAGTCTTCTATCTCTAGGATTCTTTCCAATGCTTGAGCTGCCACAGCACATGGGTTCCTTAGGGGCATTTGCCTGACTGCACCCCCCGTTGCGCAGTCTCCACTGGAGGTCAACCTCCATGGCACAAACCTAACTGCTTCTTGGAGAATCTTTTACAAAACAGCAACGTGTGGATTCTCCTCCAGAGCTTCTTGAGAGAAAGGTCATGACTCTTCCTGGACCCTAGGCACCTGTAACTAATGATCAGCCTGTTTTCTCCAGGAACTGTGCGTCGACCTTACTCAGTTTCTGAACTTTGTCTACCATTCTCTTCTTCAAATTATTCTTACAACAAATGCTCACGTATCTGAATCGGTGTTTCTATTTTTGAGAGAACTGGGTAGATGAGTGTTAAATCTGAAATTCCAAGTTATGAATATCCTATTCATAAAGACTAGTTGTTGTCGGATTTTTAGAGGACTTTCACAAGTGGGTAGTGGAAAGCTGAAGGCGAATGCTGTGAGGAGGGGGGGATGATGAAAAGCATGTGGAATATTTGAGTATATTCTTTCCTTCACTCAATGTTTCATGAAATGTATCTCTTTGGATTTCTGCTATGAATGTTTAAGGATACAGAAAAATATCACCTGCATGTCCTATATTGCTTTCACACTAAGTATCAAACAACCATAAAAGTTTTCTAGAGGTACCTGGCTGGATGCTCTCACTGATACAGTGAGGATCACCAATATGTCACCTGTTAGCGGAGACACTCTAGGCAGACTTCATCTCTAATTCAGCTTTGATCAATTATATTTGCCATTTAACATGGAAGACACCTAGAGAACATTTTCTGAAAGTACAAATAGAGGTCAGACGAGAGTGTGCACTTTGTGTTTGATAGGCAGGAGGAGGTTGAGAGAGAAGGCAAGCCAAACAACAAAGCCTTACTTTTGTCATAATTGTTTATGTGGCCATATTATTTTATCTAGAAATGAAACAATCATTCGGGAACAATTCACATGTTCCTGTTTATAAACAACACTATTGATATGTTATTTATTTATTTTTTATTTGACAAAAATATAATCTCAATTATTATTTGGAAAACATATATTATCCCCATGACTTTGACATGTCACGTAAGTGACAGCTATAATGCCATACTTTCTCTTCCACAGTGGTATAGCTTCAGACTGCATCCCTGGTTGGTCTTCAAGGATTATTGGTATTAAGTACCCAGACATAGTTTAGTTTACTTATGTGGAAATACAAACTATGGAAAATAACATGTACTTACTTGACATTTTATTTGAAAGGAAAACAGTCTTTAAAAATGAGGAAATCAGATGTTTATTTAATATCAATACTATTGTCTATGGAAATGAAATTTGTGTGTAGTTTGAGATTCATGTTCACTACAAAGTTTAAAATGATTCCAGTCTGAAATTTCCCGAATAGTTAATTCTGTAGTACCCATGTAAGTCAGCATCAATCCTAGGCCCTGGTTTTATTCAAACAAATAAAACACATATGAACATCCCCCAAAATGAAGTGCCATTCTACTGAAGCATGTTATGCTAAACTATGACCTTACAAATATTCATATAAAATGCAAGAGCCTAGTGGAGATGTTTCTTAAACTCTTAGAGTAATTTTCTTCCTTCTCTTAGTGAATCTTACATTCTTTTTAATGATTTTTTTTTAACCTAGAGTAAATAGAAAACATCTGAACCTTATTATTTGCTTCAATTAGCTTAACTTATTGCTTGGACATTTTTTCCAACCATCCCAAAACCTAAAAAGGACCGTTAAATATCCCCAAATAAAACTTATAATTTGAATACGTATTAATATACTAAAAATACAAGTATAAACTTACTAGGGCCCAAAGATAAAGTTGGATAAATTGAGTTTGTTCTCCAGGACAAAGTTACAAAGTATGGTCAAATTTTTCATCAGTAATAAATGGTGATTTGTAATATTGGGATGATTAGAGGTTTTGACAAATTTAGAGAATACCAACATAATTGTGAAAATTAATAATAAATTATCACCCTTCTATAGATTAATCTTCAGAATATTTTAGAGAAAGTTTAATTGATAATTTCATAAAGAGACAGCGAACTGAACGAGAGTGCTTGTCTATCTAAAATGTGGGCTGTTACAGAATTATGTGAACAACACAGAAAGATTCAAGTAAAATTTGCATTTAATTGTAATAGATGTAAAAATAAATGTCAGATATTAATTTTTAGAAGATACTTTTCATATTGCTTGTAATTTTATTATTTTTTTTGAAACCTGCTATTTCATATAGAACAAATTTTCATTTTTCAATAACCTTCCTTCTTGATTAAGAACATTCACAAAATGAAATGGCATTGCTCTGTGTCTATTTTTGTCCAATGATTATATATAAAATCCTTCATGGCTGACTAGACTGCCTTCACCCTCTGACCTCCTACCCCATCCCCAATCTTCCGCACTAAGGCAGGGGCAAATAATGGTGCTGACAAGAAGTGAGTTACCTCCCTGTTAAGATGGACTAAGGGGACCTCCCCATAGACAAGGATTCTTGTCTTTGAACTGGGTGGAGAGCTGTAAAGATAAAATGTGCTGTGAAGATAAAATAAATAGTTTGACTCTTTCGATTACCCAATGCTCTTTGAAGCAATATGAAGGTAGTGGTGCTTCCCACAACACTTCATCTGATTAAGTTGAAATGTAATTTCTGTTAGACAGTCTCTCATATGCCATTATTTCCCCTTGTATTTTTACAAACCACAGTATTATTGAGGAATATATATATATACCTTGCATCTCCTTACTAGTGAGTAGAAAACTGAGTCTTACTTCATATGTAAGTTAACCAAGTGTAACAATTACAGTGGCTACTGGCCATCAGGGATCTATTTATTCAAACATTATGCTCCTTTAACAGGGTACCATGTAGTCTGAATGAGTTGATGCATCTCTTAGGGTGCTCACGTTTATAAAAAAAAAATCAATTGCTTACAAAATAATTCATTAAGTCAACTTATTTGGCTACATGAAGCACTGAATTTATTTTATTTTCCCTATTGTGTGATATGACTTGTTACCAGATAATACTGGACCAACATTCGCCATGGTACTAGTTGGTTTTATTAATTTATTGATTTGGATGAAATGATGGCAAGAAAACTGAAATTGTATGTAAAGATAAGTAAACATGTTAAAGCACAAAATATCTGCCTAAAAATCAATTATCTAAAATTAACTGCACTATCAGGAGCACCACTCATAAATTGTTAAAATGGGAGAAATACAAGAAATTAGTTAACATATTTTTTAATAAGGACAATTGGATAATTTATTGACAATATTTCTGACAATATTTCTGAAAGATTCTTCAAAGTAGTTACAAATTATCTTCAAAGATAAACTATTGATAGGTGTAGGGATGTCTGAGATTATTATTGCATGTCCTCTTGGTAGACATAATTATACATAAAATATAGAATTTGATTTTATTATAAATAGGAAGTTCAAGTTGTGGAGTCATTAGGAATAGCATCCAATATAAAAAGTTTTTTTTTTTACCAATTCAAGAGTGCTCTACAAAATCTGTATATTATTTGCTCTGAGTTACAAATAAACTAGATTTGAAAATCTTATTGCACAAAAATAGTAACAGGTTCATTAAAGTTATGTCCTTTATACTAGAAGTAACATAAATAAGATTATTAAAAAACTAATATAATGCATTGCTGATTCTCTAATGGAGAAATGTTATTTTAAAGATACAAAGGAGATAATGCATAAAACTTTTGAGTCCAAGAGAATTCATAACAAATCTCATATTTGTCTACAAAACCATTCTCTGTTGCACAATCTTTTCTATTTGTCTATAAACTTTTTTTCTCTTGTACAATCTCAACAACCACTTCCCTCTCTTTCCACACAAGTATTTCTTCTACATGTTCCATTTGTCGCAAATAGAAAAAAAAATTCTACTTAAAAGTCAACTACATTGCAACATTCATAGAAGTCTTTTTCCTTTGGCTTAAAATTTCTTGGCAATCTAAACATGGTAGACATCAATATGCATAGTTAAGTAATTAAAACAATATGCATCTGCCCATACATTGCTAATCATGTAATTAAATAAAATATTAAATTAATAACATGTCTGCAACAATCAAATAAACTTAACATTTATATATACGTCATTATTTTCTTAAAAATTGAAAATATATTGCTATTATTAATGCTTTATCTTGAGTAACATATTTAGTATGTAAAATTTGGTGGCTGAAGAGATGGCTCAGCGATTTAAAGTGCATGGTTAAGGATAGGAGTGTGTTTTCCATCACCCACATCTGTTGGCTCATAACTACACATAACTGCATTTCCACTGGGATTATGCGTTTGGCCACCTGCACGAGCACACATGCACATAATTATAAAATAATAATAAACTTCCAATAGAAGAGCAAATTACTATATATAAAACAAAAATAACAAAACAAAGCATAAAAATAAATTTTAGGTGATGAAGAAAAAGTTGAGGTCATGGGCATATTCTGTTCCTCCATACAAACCTGGTAAATAGTACAAACAAACAGACAAAAAAAAAGAAAGAAAGAAAGAAAAAGAAAAAGAAAAGAAAAAAATTGAACGAAGCATCAGAATAAAAAGTCACAGGACAATTGTGGTCTATTAAATGAGAGCATTGAAAAGGGACTGTGTTGAGGTGCAATTTAAGCTTTATCCTCGGGGACGAGAAAACATAACTTGTTCTGAGCAAGAAGTACATTAATGCTAGAAGGAAATGGTTCATAAAGAACTGTG